AGAGATGAACTCATGAATTCATTTACAACTGAGTTTGTCCACTAAAGTTTCTCTATGTTTTACATTAACAGGGAATTTCATTGTGCTGCAAGTCAAACTCCAGATTTTCATCAAGTTTGATCAATTTATCCAGATCAACAGTAAAGATGAAGGTAAGCCTGTAACTTGCACTGTAAAAAAATAAAAAATAATTCATCTATCTTTATTTATTTTAACAAGGAAAGGTATTTTTAATGTTTAAAATCTTGTTAACAACAAATGACCAAAATAAAAATCAGCACAGAGACATTGTACATAAATGTACAAATTATGAAACATCAATAATGATTAGAATATGAACACAAACAACAACAAGATATTTAACTATGTAGTCAAAAAATGTAAAAATTAAACAACTTCTAGTGAGTTTGTTAATTATTTAAAATGTTTGATATTTTGTTCAGTCACTGAAATGTTGAGTGAATTTGAGTGTTTAAATTTATCCAAACACTCAATGCATGTAAACACTGTACATAGTTTTGGCTCTGGAAATAACATTTGTTAACAGGACTGATGAAATGAGTTGTTAAAAAATGGAGGATCAAACCAACCAGAAACCTTTGTTAAGGCAGAATTCAGCATAATTCTGACTGAAAATCTGGCAGCACAGCTTACAGGCCACATGCAGGACAAGATCAGGGATCAGGTTTAATCTGACTAAATGAACGTTAATCAGAGTTTCTCTGATGATGTTCAGAAGGTGTCATGTTCTGTCTTCCAGCTGTTATCACTTCTCTTCCTCCTGGCTCCACTGCTGATCAGCTGTGAAGCGACTGACGACAAACTGCGACGTGATTGCAATGACATCTACAATAAGGACAAGAAACTTCCCAGTGGAGTTTACATCATCTATCCAACTGGATATTCACCTGCTATTAAGGTGAACTTTATGTTTGGTTTGTTCATAAAAATGAAGATCCAGATTAAAGTTCTGTGCAGGACCAAGACTGGAGGTTTATCTGTTAACAATGCTGAGGATGTTTTTACTTAATCTTCATACACATTACATAAACTGACTGTTTGAAACTGAACTTTCTTGATAGTATTTATTTTTCCACATAAAGTGTGACATTGCATTACATAATAAAAACTGTATCAAGTCATGAATGTGTTTGTGTGAAGGCTTACTGCGACATGGACTCAGAGGGAGGACGCTGGACGGTGAGTCCATCTCTACATGAACTCTCTCTGTTTACACTTCAACTTGGTTTATCTCAGGATTCTTGGGGATTTCATCCAACAAACATCAAGTTCTGTTGAAAGAAGAGTCTTTATTGTCCTTCCATTTTCACCTGCCTGAGATAAGATTTGATCAGTTTTTGTCATGTTAAATATTGATTATTGATACCAATTCAGAGTTGGTACAACCACTTCCTTTTCACCCTGAGTGTGTCAGTGAGAACGTTGTTCACTTCTTGATCAGATTCCTTTGTTGTTCCAGGTTTTCCAGAGGAGGATGGATGGCTCTGTAAACTTCTACAGACCCTTTGCGGAGTACAAGAGAGGCTTTGGAAACGCTGCTGGAGAGTACTGGCTGGGTGAGACACCGACCTAAACAGTTAGTCAATGTATGGTTGGTTTATATTTACTTATAACATAGTTATAACTCAGTTCCTGCAAACCCAGATTAACCAGGTGTTTAATGCTCTCAGTAAAATCTAAATTTAATAGTTTCCATGTCTGTGCAGGTCTTGATAACATCCATGAATTGACACGGAGTCAGAATTATGAACTGATGGTCGACATGGAGGACTTTGAAGGAAACAAAAAGTTTGCTCTTTACTCTTCATTTAAAGTCGATGCTGAGGTTGATGGTTACCTTCTGCATGTGGGTGGTTTCAACAACAAAGGAGGCGCTGGTGAGTCATGAGAAAAAACACATTCTAACTTTACTAGTCAGGATGAATTCATGGATGGACGTAATGATGCCCATCACTAATTATTCCTTTGTAAAATAAATAATTCAACTTGTGCTGGGTCTGAAAGTCATGCAGTGAGTCTGGAAATGTAGAGCAAGGCACTGAGCATGGATCCTGGTGTGTAATATACACCAGGAGTGTATTATTACACACTCCTGGTGTATAATAATACCAGGAGTGTATTACCATACACTCCTGGTGTATAATAATAATAATAATAATAATAATAATAATAATAATGATAATTAATAAAGCTAATTTACTGTAGTTAGACAAATCAGGATTAAGAGAAATAGACCTTGATTGGATTAAATGTGTTGTGTCAGTTATATCTAAATCCAGAGTTTGTTCTTATGGTTCTGAAGCAGGAAGATTGATGTTGGTAGTTAATAGCACAAAGTAAATTTAATTGATCTCATTGATAATATCCCAGTAAGAAATTAACATAACTCATAATTTATTTCACAAAACATTATCAACTTTTCACAAAGTCAGCATTTTTGTTAAATATTGAAATTACAATTTTATTGATGTTGGATCACGCAGAATTTGTATTTTTTTTCACTATTCAAGCTTTCAACTGAATGTCTGTTTTATTCATATAGTTTTTGTATCCTATTATTATTTCTGCAGGAGACAGCCTTTCCTATCACCACCAACAAAATTTACCACTTTTGACAAAGACCAGGATGAGATGAGCGGCAACTGTGCCAAAAAATATCTCGGTGCTTTCTGGTACAAATCTTGTCACTATACAAACCCTAACGGGGTTTATCGCTGGGGGGCTGACAACACACTCCTTGATGTTGGAGTGGAATGGGTTCAATGGAAGGGACTTGGTTACTCCCTGAAGAGCATCAGCATGAAGATCCGTCCTGTCATTTAAATCTGCAGGTCAAACATCAAAAAATAATGAGTGCTTTTTCTTATAATCAACCATCAACTTTTAGCTTCAAACATGAGTCAAAGTTCACTTGATTACTAATAAATATAATCCAGTTGATTAAATCATTGGTGAGAGTTTGCTACCTGTAATCAATTCATCTCTGATAATAAATAAGATGCCAGCAGCAATATTTGTGTGTCTGTATTTTTTTATATGTAAAAATTAAAATAAGCCAGTTTTAAAACACAAATTGGGCCAAATGGAAACATTTTTAGAATCAAACCTCTTGGTTAAATGCAATTAATTGAAAAAACAACCAGGTCTTCCGTAATTCTAAATTTTATGCTCAACTGTGTCAATGTCAACATCTATGTCTATTTAATGATCTGTTTATGTCACTCCCAGAGAAAATAAAGTATATCTGGTGTTAGCTAAGACAAAGAAATGGAGTGTAATTTGATTTTTATCAGAAAACAATCAGGAAGTGAAACAAGAACAGCAGAAAGTCATCAATTTGTTTTTTCTTGCAATAAAATGTAAAAAACAAAATCTCATGAATTTGATATTGTACTTTTAGGAGCACAGTAAAATATTCATAGTTTGACTTTATAATGACCATATGATGTGCGTCAATGTGTTGAAAAAACAAATTACATGATTTTTAGACTCTGGAGATGTGTTGATTGATTTGATCAGGTTGAAGAAAGTTTTGTTATTATATGAAGTGAAAGACTCACTGAATGCTGAGGCGTAGTGGATATTATACAATTCACTGATTGTTCCTTTTCTGATACATAGTGCAGATGTTTGGGGAAATGCCTGTAATAATATTCAAATTCTATTTTTACTTTTGCAAATTATAGAAATTAAAAGCAGAAAATGCTGCAGAGCTCCAACAAATGCATTGTGCTTCAACTTAAAATTGATATATATTGGTGGACTACTATATCCAAAGTAATGAAATGAGTAGTTTGAATGTTAATGGAAACTCCATGTGATAATCTGAAAAGAAAAAAGTAATTTTGTTTAATAGCTTTTACGTTTTGAGTAGCAAGAACTGGATATGGGTCATTCTTTTGAAAACTTTTCATACATTTTAATAACTTTGCTGAGTAGGTTTTTTTTTCCAGGTAAAAGTTGCAAATGGATCCATATGAATACCAGCTGGGCCTCAAAACCACATTCGTATTTTTCCCAAGCTGATATGTGCCAATACAATTTATTTTATGATTTTATTTGCAAACGCAACATAATGTAGAGCATTAATACTAATTGAAAACATTGCACTTTTTTTACAGTCTTACAAATAACCAGTTGAAAAATATGGAATATATTGGTATAAAAAAAAATGGTAAATGTTCTGAACTCAAAGCGCTTTACACTAGAGTCACATTCACAAATGACTCATTCATACACCGATACGCAGACCGGTAGGCAATATGGGATTTAGTTGCCCAGAGGTACATCGACATGTAGTCAAAAGCAAAAAATAATTATTTCATATACTATTAGAAGATGCCCATTTTTCAAGTCACACGTTTTTTTTTAATTCTATTATTTGTGAACCACATAATTATCCCAATGTTTAATATTCACTCCAAAAGCTGCATTTACATGCAACCTAAACTAAATATTTTACATCTCCTGGTACTTTGTTTTCCACTCAGTCACAATCAACAGCATGCAACTATGAAGTATTAATCATGTGTTGATGTGGCCTGAGAATATATATGATTAATCTCAAATGATCAAATCAAAGTTGAGTTTTTATTCAGATCATTTTTGTCAAGATAAAACAGGAGGAGGATCTTCTAAAGTTGAAAGTAAAAACATAATGTAAAAGCCTTAACACCTCATATCTGATGTTGAGCAAAAGGAAAAGGCTGCCATACGTAAATAAATTACATTTCCTTTTTTGACAACAGATTTTATGTGATAGTTATGCAGAAATAATAAGTAACACTGGTTTACACATTAAACATTTTTATTTATTGTAACGTTTGATCAAACAATCTGACAAATACATTTAAACGAGTTTCTTTTTTGTCTTTAATATCTGTATTTAAATACAGATATTCATACTTTTTATCCTTGTTATTGTCTTGACACTCTGTAAGAAAAACACCAACATTGATCACCAACGCCTCTGTGTTTTTGACACAAAGTGCATCATTTCTAATCAAATAGCCATCAGAAGTTTCTGACACAGATAAATGGTCTTTGAAAGTAACACTGCTCATCGTCCCAGCATCTGTGCCCTGCAGGAAAACAAACAAAAACATGTTGAATTGTAGAAAGATCTGAAATCTAAAATGTAGAAACAATCAGTAAATTTGTGGTAAGAGCCTGATCATCTCTACAATTAGAACCAAAAGAGGAGAAGCAGCTTTCAGCATCTATGCACCAAAAATTTGGAACAAACTTCCAGAAAACTGTAAAACAGTGGAAACCCCGACTTCCTTTAAATCTCAACTAAAAACACACTTGTTCAGAACTGTATTTGAAATGTAATATGTAACAATGTTTTTTTTCCTAGGTTGGTGTCCTTGACATATAGTATTTTGACTAAAGTACCAAAGGGTTGGAGGCCCAGCTGATAGTTCTCAGCTAAACTCCCAGGTTGGAGGCCTTGTCAGAACAACTTGACTAAATTCCCAGAAGGTGTTGAATCCCAGTTGGTTCAACTAAAATCTACAAGACGGGTGTTTTTAGAGCCCCTCTTTTTATGAGGACTTCCCATCAGGAAGAATCCTCACACTGATAGGAAATTGTTTGTTGTTTATTGCTGTGTCATTGCTGTTGTGTGTGTGTGTGTGTGTGTGTGTGTGTGTGCATACAAGAGTGAGTGGTGCTCATCTCTCTCTGTGAGTAAAACTTTCTGTCCTCAGAATTAGAATCCTAAGTGAAGAACCGGACTGAGGCTCATCTTCATTCTATGTTGCATGACTTTGTGTTTTGTGTTTTTGATGTAAAGCACTTTGAAATTTAATTGATTGATTGATTGATTGATTGATTGATTTACAATTAGCGTCACTTAGATGGGATCATTTCACTTACGACTGAAGTTCATCTGCAAACAGTCCTGATCAAAGAAGTTGTTGGGTTCGAATCGACACCAGTTTCTATAGCGAAAAGGGCTTCCGTCCACCCAGCGCCAGCGGCCATCCTGGAAGGTGAAGCAGTCTGAGCTTTACCTTAAATGTATTTTTCTGAAGGACTGACACATAAGGTGCACATGTGAAATTACCCATTGTATGTCATTGCCTCCAATCCAGACTGCAGATCGCCCCCGGCCTGCAGCTATTATCATCCTCACAAGCTGATTATTCACCTCGTAGTCATGGACTGATGCAAGGTGTGCAAGTATGGACCTGCAGTTCGACTGCAGTGGACAAGAGGAGACCAGTTACACTAATGCAAGAAGGAGATGGTTGGTGAGAAAATACAAGTGAAGTTAATCAAAGGTCACCTGAGCTCTGTGCCAAGTGGCAGCGAATGGAAAGACGTGGTAGCAGCGACCTTTGACCCGGGTCCAGCCAGAAGAACAGGATCCTGAACGTTGGACTGTTCCATTCAGAGCTTAAAACAAACAATCAAAGTCCCAGGTAAATTATTTCTAATATTCAGCTGGTAGTTTTAATTATGCACTGCTGGGACAAAAACGTCGAGGAAAAAGCAACTCAACTCAGCCGGGAACTGGAAAAAATTCATCCAGTCTTAATAAAATCAACAATCATTGCTTTCTGATATAAATGCATGGGAATATTTCATGCAATAAAAGACATAAAAATAAGCATGGATACAAAAACTGAACCTGAACTGTGTTAAAAAACTGATTTCATATTTAAGTTTGCTTCACCGTGTCCCTGAGGAAACGTCTCAGTCTGATTTAGTCGCCACTCTGCAACATTCAGATGTTTAAAAACCGACATCAGGATTAGGGCTAATGAAAAGACTAGTGATTGTTTTATTGTTATTTATTTTTGATGATTTTAGTTATTTAAGTTATTCACTTGCTAGAGAGCCTTTCTTCAGGAAGGAAGCTGAACTTTCTGAATTCAGGTGTCTTGGTTGAAACTAAATTGTTCCTCTTGCTGCAAAACAAAACTTTAACCCACATTATCAGGAAAGGTAAACTCACCCTTCAGGTAAGCTTCCTCATCCACAGGTTCAAAGGTTGGTTCTGCAAAAAACACGAGGAGAAGAGATGAAAATCACTGTGTTTTTTAATGAAGCAGAAGAAAAAAAGCACCAACCTTCTGCATCTGTCCAGTTTCCAGGTTCCTCTTCATGAAGAGTCAAATGATCTGGCAAAGTTTGAATGGTAAATTCATTTTGTTGGTTTATTCAGAATGTAATGCTTATAATTGGCAAACGTAGACTTACCTTCTGCAAAAATGTCCTCAGTCTCAGGATTTTCTCTGGTGTCTGGATATAATTCAAATTTTTAACATTAATAATATGTACAAGGAAAAATATGAACTAAAAATCACAGTATTTTAGTGTTTATGCTCAGTATTGGGTCTACTTCACAAAACGTGTCTGATTTGCTATTCTGTCTCCTAAAATCTTCTGTTAAAATTTTATTCTAGCCTGTTTTGTTGGCATTATGTTCACAATAACTGCTCTGGGTGTAGCAAACAGAACCCATCAGAGCCAAAACAGAATCCATAAATGTTGTACAACACAAGCATAAAGCACTTAGTTCAAAAGGCACAAAAAGTCGAATTTGCAACGCAGATGGATAAACCGATCTACGTATCGGTTTATCCATCTGAAATATGTTTTTCACTGTTTATATTAAAACAGAGAAGAGTCGCTAATTAAAGCACTTCATCAAACTACTCTGGATGAAAACATCAGCAGCAAGATTAGGCCTGTTTCTAACACTGGATGTAGTCAGAAAGACAGATGTTTAGAAATACATCTGGAAGCTGTTTCAAAAAACATAAAAAAAATAATGAATCTGATGAAATACAGCCTCACCTTCTGGAAGAGCCTCATGGCTCTCAGCCCCATCCACAGCAACTGGAAGCACTGCATTAAACACAGCAATGAATTACAGAATTATACCAGATATAAAATATTTATATCTGGTATAATTTAATTTAACATTAGATTAAAGGTGGGAATAATATTTACTTTGGTGAAGCAGTAGTAATAATATGCATACAAACCAGCAGGTTGACTCAAAGGCAACAAGGCACAAAGAAGCAGCAGGAGACACATCATGGCGTTGATGATGCAGGTTGAAGACAGTAAAGAGATAATAATTTCGACCAATCACACCACAGGAAGTTTCCACGTTTACAGTCGGTCTGCAGGTTGAATGCGCTGCACCAGAAACACAGCGGCTCTTATATTCTGTTTCTTCCAGCCTCAAAACAAGGAAGCTGGCGTCTGAATTTCTGAAAAAATATCCCCCTCTTGATTTCTTATCTTTTGAACAAACATTGTTTCCATCTATCAGTTATCAAAGTCCAAATGTGGTTTTTAAAACGTGCCTTGTGCAAACTTTTATATTGCAACACTTTATTTTTCAGAGGTGATCTTGTCATTTTTACTTGATCAGTGACAATTTGCATTGAATCAAAGTGTAGTAATGTTTAATAATACATGCACACTGCTAAGATGTGCATGTATCTTAGCAGTGCATGTGAATGTCTCACATTCCTCTGAAATGTCAGGATCAAACCAGAATAATCTTTTCTGCATGATCAAATACAAACTTTAGATTTTCTAAGTCTGCATTGCAACCAGGACGTTTACAGTTTAACTGCTTATGTCTGAATATTTGATATAAAACAAGAGGAGGAGTTTATGACCATCCTGCAGAACGTCGTGTCTGACCTTGGGGAAAAGGGAAATCCTTCCACAGGGAAATAAATCACATTTCCTTGATTGATAAGAGACGTTATCTGGAAATAATGGCAAAACAAGAACTCTGGTTTACACATTAAACATTTGTGTTTATTAAACTTTTGATCAACAAACTGACAAATGAGTTTGTTTTGAGGTTTTTTGCCTTGATTGTGTATTTTAGTATATTGTTCTCTTATGACATGGATTCTTGCTTTGCTTTGTTTTTCCTTTCATGGAAAATAAATCACTGTAATTAATTAGCTTGTGAATAAATGGGGCAGCATGAACCATCCTGCCTTGCCTCAACAAATCATCAGCCTGTCATTATCTCGTTTATTTAGAACAGATGGGACGTCTGTAACACATTAAACTTAATAAAACTACAGTAGGAAACTTTTATAAAATATTTCTCAAGTTTTTCACAGATTATGTCCCATATTTTTATAAAAGCTGCCTACTGCATTGAGAGTAATAACTTTGTTGCTATGAGTTTACAACTTCTCTCATTTAATAATTAGAACAGAATTTAATATATAATTCTAAAAATTTAGAATAAATACTCAAGTTTGATAAACATCCATTTAGGCTTTAGGGTGTTGATGTTACAGCAGATATATCAAATTGTTCATTTCTTAGCTGTTATCTTTTAAATTAAGATCAAATGGATGATATAAAAGTATAAAAACTTTTCTAAACCACTAGAGGAAGCAGTTCACTGATCAATAACCTGGTTAAAGCATCCAGTTATTGTTGCCCTTGTTTCTAAATAATGAATTAGTTTAGAACAGAAATAAAACAGTTTCAGCTAAAACTCATAATGTCAAACCTGTTTTTTATTTTGCTATTCAAGAAAAATTAAAGCATATTAAAAACATCATCAGCAGTTAAAGTGAATACAGTGGAAGTCTTCAGTCAGATTATCTTTAATATTGGTTCTTTTTTACGTTTGTTCAAATTTGCTCATCACCACTTTTGTATTCTTAAAATAACTTAGCAATCTTCGTTTAGCTTCAACTAAAAATAATCAGCTATTTATACAGGTGAGATTTAACAATACAGTAAATGTTGGTTTCACAATAACCGTATCAATGTCATTTCAGTCTTTGAACTTTTTTTTTTTTTTAGCTTTTTGTACTTCTTCCATTAGCCCACTTTCATTCACTCTTTGTCATGACTTCAGCATTTCTGCTCCACCCTCTGTGCTGAATGCTCATCACTCTCACCTGCACTGTGCTGCTTTTCACCTGCTCAGTGCGAGATCGTCTGTTGCTCTAGTCACAGCTTTCAAGCCATTGTTTCATGTTTCGAAGAGTTTGTGGTTTTCTGATCCTGCCTGTCCTTGACCACAGATTCTGCCTTGTCCCTCGGCTGCTGCAAGTTTTCGGACCTCCTGTTGCTGACCCTGCCTCCTTTGCTGTTTTGCTGGATTATCTTTGCCTGTGGCTCTACCGTGCATGACCCCAGATCGTCTCACTACTCTGTCTCGGGTTGGCCCTGTCGTCCGTTTGTTCCCTGAGCCCCCAAGACTTTCTGTAGTCCTTTCTTCCTACTTGGTCCCACCCCTGGCTGGATCCCTGTCCCCTGTGGATTCCTCCTCCCTTATCCGCTCGTCTCATCCCACCCGTTCAGCCCCGTCTATACTATTATTTTGTCATTAAAACATCTGGTGAAACTCACTTCTGTGTTGGCTGCGTTTTGGGTTCTGGCTGAGTTTGCTTTATCGTTACACTCTTCTAGGAAACAATATATTAATATTATAGTTGACCTTTTCAACTTTGACCATTTACTAAGTTAGCCTGAACATCGATGATAGTAGAATGGTTTTCCTCTGTAGGAAGTTATTTTTCCACCATTTTCATTCAGATCAGTGTAAAGGAGGTTGATTGACAGCGCTAAGACCCGCCTCCTGGCTCTGATTGGTTGTTTTTGGTGCTTTTTGCAGACAACGGTAGTAACACTGGAGGTCGTGGGGGAGTTCAATGTCTTTACAGATTATCTGTCTCATATGAAAATCTCACAACACGGTGATATTTTTTTAAAAATATAGAAAAATTTCAGAAATTACATACTGCAGGCTTAATAATCAGGAGAGAAACTGGATTTTAGTTTCATACAAGACGGAAGAATTTATTGTTTGAACAAGTAAAAAAAATAAAAAAACTATTCTGCATTCTGTGTTTCTGACTGGCCACAGTCCCTCCCAAATCCCAGTTTATTGTTCCTATAACTGCTACATTCAACATTTTTATCCAATGCACTGAAGAACAGAATCTATGATCTGAATTGCAAAAAATATTTTGCTGCACCAGTAGAGGGCGCACCTGTACGGGCAGTTCAGTGGTCAGTAATCTCCTCAAAGCAACAAGTTATTTTTGCCCTTTTTCAAATAAAATTAGTATTTAACAGCCAAACCAATTTTATCCATCCTTAAAATTTTCTTTTTCTTTTCTTGTGAAACCTAAAGGAGTAAAACTAAATAATTCAAACAAAAGTTTTTGGTTTAGTCCATCCCAGATCCTTCACTGCTACAGAACTGGTCCATGTTTTGTGTAAAGGTTTAAACTCAACTTTCAGATTGATTGCATTAGCCTCACAATGACATTTTAATGAGTCTTTTTTTTGTTTTTTACAAACACACATTTCAATTCAAAATGTCAATTTGCAAGATTTATTTGATGTATAGTCTAGAAGTTAGTAGAAACAACTAAATGTGCCTCAAACCTTTACAGTGTTTTCTCATTGTGTTATGGTTTCATAATGTAAAGCACTTTGATCTGCTTTGTTGCTAAAATGTACAATAAAATAAAGTTAACTTGATTGAGCTGCAGCTGAGAACCCAGCCAGCTGAAACTAATAAAACATTTTACACACCAAACACAAACACATCCAGACCAGCATATTTTAATGCCTGCCATTTAATTTTGCAAAGAACAAGAATGAAAGTTTAATCAGCAAGAAAGTACATGAAGCAGTTACTTTACAGTACATTTGTTCTGATCGCATGAGAAGCAAGACAGAGTTCCTCTGTCGATGTGCTGCGTCGCGTCATCCGTCAAGCAGCATAGATGGAAAATAAAAGACGTGAAATGAGGAAGATTCTTCATGTCTTCAGCTCAGCCCTGCTTCATTTCTTCAAAACGCAGACAGAGGGTAGGCGGACCGTACATCTGTAATCGTCCCAGCACTTTTCTCCTGTAAGAGAAAAAGACAGAAAACAGTTTTAGACCAAAAAAAGCCTGAAGCTTTTCAAAAGTAACAGGGGCATTCAAACTGAAAAAACTTTCCACCACTAAAAATAAAATATATCTTTATTTATTTTATGTTTTTGCATGTGATCAGAAATCTATAAGAAGTGACTTTATCGTGCTTAAAAGAAAGAACAGTTTTACCTGCGTCATTCATTTGCATGCAGTCCTGGCGATAAGCAGCATTGTTGGGTTCTCCGGACACCAGTATGTAAACGTCATCAGCGTCCCATCAGACCAATGCCAATGATTTTCCTGCAAGACGCATCAAGAGAAAACCTCTTAGAGTCTGTGTTGAGGAGGTTTTGATGAATAGAGTAATACTGGGTAATGCTAACCTCAGCTGCATCAGTGCCGCCGATCCACGCTTCTCTCATCTCATGTGTGACCTGCAAAATGAGCCCCTGAATCCATGGTATTCATCAGAACTCTGCACAGATGCAAGGTTTCCTCCCATGGAAATGCAATTTCTCTGCCAATCAATCGGAAGAAAGAAGAGTAAACAATTGTGAATATAATTATCTGCTTTTTATTTAGGAAGACGCAACATTAAAGAATATAAACATGAGTCATAGTCCAGTCGTACCTCAGCTTTGATCCAAGTCATACGTCTCGGGACATACTTGAAACAGCGTCCATGGATCAGACGCCAACCATGAGGGCAGTAAGTTTCTATGTCCATTGATCTCTTTGTGGGAAAAATATAAAAAACATTATCTATGACACCATTTATCTCATAGTGAATACTGCCTGAAAAATATCAAACTAATCTTCACTAATATGGCATAAAAGTTCTAATTTTCACACTGCAGTACTATAGTACTTTTGACTCGGTGTAAGAAAATCCTGAAAAGAAAGTGAACCAATAATATAGAAATATAGAGTCTCAGGAACTTTAAATGATGGAAATTTTTAATGTTAAAAATGACATTGATTTTCTTCAGTCAAATAATTTTAGTTGCACAACTCAAAGGATTCTTGCTTCTCACACTTACTGACAGAATACTCACCATTAACGCTGCTCAGAAGCATCAAGCCACAGAGAAGCAGAGGCAGAGGCAGGATCTTCATGGCTGCAGGTCACTGGGAGATAATTATCACCTCCTGAAAAAAGAAACATACAAAATCAAAGTACAACCAAGAACCAGAAAAACAGGACGAGGTTAAGCAAAAAGGGCTTGCAGAAAAGAATCAGCCTCTCACTCTGAGCTCTGAATCAGGAAGTTTCAGGTCAGATACAAAAACGGTAAGTCGGCTTTTATAGACACATTTATCTTAACATCACATCTTAAAGGAGGAAACTGAAACATTAAAGAAGGGGTGACCGTATGCAAATTGCATACTCTGATCAACAATCACTTATGGAACATGAAGTTTTTGTTTCTTCCTCAGAGAGTAAATTAAATTTGTTCTAAGTTACAGAGTGAAAACATTCCTGTTTTTTTAAAGTCTGTTATTGTTATTCATGCACATGCACACAGTTGTTGGCAACCCCAGGTTATGAAACACTGACAGAGTAACTGTCCACAAGTATTCAGGCCAAACTGCTTTCAGGTTTGAAGTTTGTTTTTCGGTTTGTCCTCAGATGTTCAGTAGCATTTGCAAAAAAATCCGTTTTTTTGCTTTTGCGTGTTCTTGGCTGCATGTTTCAGGTCATTATCCTGCTGGAAGGCCTTTGATTGTGACGGAGGTCAAGCTTTCTGACACCAGGAAGAACATTCTGTCCCTAAGGCCTTTTATGGTCTTGAGATTTTATTGTATCCTGAACAGATTAAAGATGCAGCAAAGCAGCCCAGAACATAGCCAAGACTCCTCCATGTTTCTCAGTGGGACAGAGTTTTCACTCTTCATTTTGAGTTTGTGGTCATAAAGTTTTGTTTCATTTGACAAAAGAACATTTTCCCAGAAGTTTTGTGGCTCGTCAATATGCATTGTGGCAAATTCCAGTCCTGCTTCCTTCCTGTTTTGGATAAATCATAAAGGAAGCATGTTTTAAGCCTGGAAGCATCTCTCTCTCTCTCTCTCTTCTCTCTCTCTTTCATTCTCTTCTTTTATCTAATGAGTTTTGACCTGAGTTCACATCCTTAAATGGAAATGTTTCATTTGACCCAAGGGAGGAGACAATGAACAGTACAAAATGTTTCACATGCATTGTGCAATCGATTTGCTAAAATATTTAATGAGCAAAGGAATGACTCAATAAGCTAGTGGAAGTACGGTTGTGAAACAAACTTCTCTTTTGTGAGATCCTCTTTTTATTTGTGAAATGTTTTTTCCAGGCCTGGACTGGAACTTGGCCCAGAACAGGACCACCAACCCCACAGCTCTGTTGTCCCAATGTCCACAGATCTTACAACCAAACACTAAGCTGCTGGTGCTTTGCTCCTCTAATCTTCAACTGAAATGCTACTTGTGTTTTGTTCCTCTAACATAATTTCATATCTATGTTGTTTCATCTGAAGGAGCAAACAAAGCAGCTGAAACTTTCTTTATGACTAGAGGACTCCACCATCTCAGCTCCAGCCTCTCCATCATCTCCAGCACCAACTCCAACCGCCAGGTGTGTTGAAGTAGAAACGCATCTTAAAGTGACAGGACACCGGCCCTCGAGGCCTGGAGCTGCCCACCCAGAGACTCTACTGCATCAGGGAAAAACAAGGTTTTACAAACACTCAAAATTAAAAGGACTAAAACAAAGAGTTACTTGTAACTCCAGCAAATAACAAGTTAATCTGAATTAAATTCAAAAGGACAATTTCAAAGAAGTAAGATTTTGTTTGTCATATTTGATATATAGTATTTTGATACCTGAAGGTAACATAGGTATTTAATTATTATTATTATTATTATTATTATTATTATTATTATAAAACAGAGCACACATATTCCTACCCCTTTAAAATGCAGCTTGAAATAGAAAACAATTTACAATAGTGCAGCACAAAGTGCTTTACAAACCAAAATCCAACTAAAACACAAAAGGATGCAACCAGA